GGCGACTATGCTTGTCGTAAGAGGCGACACAGATCGGGTCGTCAGGCTTGGTGACTTGGTTGATGCATGTCATCGTATCCCAATTACAAGACCGATGCTCATGGTGTCAATCACTGGATTGTCTGGTCCAGACTCAATTATTTACAGACCTCCGTCATATAGCTGGAATTTGCTGAGTGCAGCAAAAACAACAAACAAACATAATGTGTTGCATTGAGCTTATTAAATTTGTAAAACCTTTATAATTTAAACAAATCAATTTGAAAGGTACAAGAAATGGTCTTGTGGTAGCATGGTGGTGAGGTAGAATCTAGGGCCATTGGAAGACATATTCAGCTCCAGCCAAATAGCAGTCCAGCAAGCTTGAATCACTTTTCTTACAGTACTTCATTAGTTATTAGCGAAAAAATAAGCAGACATTTCAGAAAACATTTTTTTTGTATTCTTCAAAAGTAATGTGGCTGTGAATGCATGTGAGCTGAACATTGTGTCTCACCCTTCAGTACATTGTTACACACCCTTTGTGTCCAATAGTTAAGGTATCACAAGGACCGGTAGAAATGTGCCCTTTATAAGGGTTTTGCTGTCTGTTGTCATTATTAGGACTAGTGGACTTAAAATGTTACTTTGTACCGCTGATATTATGGACTTCTTTTCCACTTTTCAATCTGTGGAATCTGTAAACAATTCCATGTAAAAGTATTGCCAATGGTCATTCATTTTTTCCAGGGAATTATTTTACTTGAGAAAGTTTGAAAGTGTCTGAAAGTGTATCCCCAAATTGCAGGCATAGTGTTGAAGCCGACTTCCAGAAGTAATCTGGAGTAGTTTAATCCTGAGTCGACAACATAATATACAACCACATTTAGAAAATACCTTATGAACTGATCACATGACCAATGAATTTAAGTAGGGTTTTATGTGTGAGGTGTTGTGTGTGCTATCCTGATTCACTGAAGCGTGAGAGACACACACGCGTTGTTCATTCAAGAGGATCTCAATCTTCCTTCCTGTGTCAGCCTCAAACAGAGTGTATTTTGCTGGCTGTTGCCATCATGTGACCAGGGGTCACCATGAAATACTTGTGTGTTGAGGTCGGTATCCCCAGTATGTGAAGGCTTTACTGGGCTCAAATCACACACACAACATCAATCTTTGAACACTCTCAATATCTCTAAAATGTAGACCCGTGAAGATCCAGGGTAGAATATGTCTTCAGCAACCCATGCTTGCCGTAAAAGGCGACTATGCTTGTCGTAAAAGGCGACTTACGGGATCAGGTGGTCAGGCTCACTGACTTGGTTGATGCATGTCATCGAATCCAATTTTGTGGATCGATGCTCATGATATCAATCACTGGATTGTGTGGTCCAGACTCAGACAGCTGTCATGTAGCTGGAATATTGCTGAGTGCGGCGTAAAACAAAAAACAAACCAACCAATCTAAAATGTATTTCATGTTATGTGTAATTTGTCATACTTTCTTGGGCTTGATGTCATCAAACTGTGGGTACTTCACATGTGCACATGTTGCTATTACATTTTACAGCAGTGCTATGTGATGCTGGTAGCTCACCGGCCTATGTTTCTTTGATAAATTTGTGGGACAAGGGTGCAACATGGTTGCACATTTGGTGTAACCTTGTGCAAGTTAAATCAAGCTCCTTGAAGGGAAACAACATTCCAACTTTCAGTTGTCTCACCAGCGCCATTTTAATAGCTGCATAATCACCAGAAACCAAGTACTGCCAGCTGCCAAACAAACTGGGTTCTGACCAGGGAGGGGCCAACTGGCAAATCCTTAAAACTTGGATTTGTAACATTTGGGTTATGCCAAGGTCACATGGGATTTCTCGGTTAGAATAGTTAACCAGCAAACTATGACGGTAAAAAAAGACGACTTGAATAGATGTGATTGTCAGATTTCAGTGACTTGGTTGATTGCATATCATCACATCCAGATGGTGTAGGGTGTGCTCATTATGTCAACCACTGGTTTGTCTGGTCCAGACTTGATGTTTTACCAACTGTCATCAAAGTTGGAAAACTGCTGAGTGTGGCATTAAACAACAAAACAACCTTGACTTTCATGCTAAATTTCAAGCACAGTCGACAGAATAGTTTAATACCTTTCAATTACATTTCCCTATTGGTATTACATAAAAGCCATAAATTCCTTATTTTGGCAGTAATCACACCATAAAATATTTTTTGAAAAGCACATTCTTCATAGAGCACCACCCCTACCCCACCTCCATCATAAAAATTCCTTGATCCTTGGCTAATAAATTTTCAAACATCTTACAACCTTATAAATCCTGGTGACCTTTGGTTTTCGATTTGTCAGTTTTCAGCCTGCTGTGATCCCCGTCACTTCATGATAAGGGAAATTACTCTACTTGTTTGTTTTAGTAATCGGGTACTTGGCAAGACAAATAAATCAAGTGCTTGATAGTATGTGATAAGTGGTATTTTCAATACCTGATAATACCCAAATTATTATCCCCATGTCTGGGGTAGTTATGTTTACTCATGGTTTACATACCAATGTTTGTGTGTATACATCTAGTGTGAGTCAACAATGCATTGATGGTCGTGATGACGAATAATACTGAATGTGCAAACATGTTTATTTGGGAAACAAATATTTGGTCGGACCATCCGTTGATGCAGCATGAGGAAATTACATTTCAAGTCATGGAATGAATCGTGCTGCAGATGATTATGCATGTTCTGGCATGACGAATAGATGGTCAAGTCACAGTAACAGGGTCTCACTGGATGCAAGATATTGCATCTACATAGCTGTCAACCCCTGGATGTCTAAATGAGTGAGAAGTCAGGGTGCAGGGGCTGCAAGCCCTGGTGGGGGGGGGCAGCGAAAACTGGTTTTGAATGATTTTTCACGCCCTGTTGGTTGTATTCGCGATAAATCGAAAGAGAAAAGCGTTTCAAAATATTTTTGTCTACATTTTATATGAATGCGTGAGAATATGTCATCCTTGCGTGTGAGCGTGACATAGGTGATAAATGCGTGAGACTCACACGAGATGCGTGAGAGTTGACAGGTATGCATCTAATATTTGGGAGTCAGGGTGTCATTGATTAACCCATGAAGGTCCGGGTTAGAATTGGTCTTCACCAACCTATGCTTGTTGTTAGAGGCGACTAACGGGATCGGGTGGTCAGGCTCGCTGACTTGCTTGATGCATGTCATCATATCCCAACTGCGTAGGTCGATGCTCATGATGAAAATCACTGGATTATCTATTTTAGACTTGATTATTCATAGACCACGGTCATATAGATGGAATATTTCTAAGTTAACAACAAATAAACGAACAGTGATTGATTTTCTTTTCTTTGGAATCACCATCAATAACAGTCCTAAGGCCCCTCAACATGTGCAATGACATTACATCAGTGACAGTCCTCAGGCCCCTCAACATGTGCAATGACATTACATCAGTGACATTCTGGAGCCGTGTAACCATCCTCCCCCAAACGTATGACTGCGGGACTCCAGAACTAGGGAATATATAGACCCTGTGCATCATGAATTTAAAACAAAGTAAGGCATTAGACTGTCTGTGTTTTGCAGTGGGTCACAACCAGTAATTGCAGCAAACTCCAATAACTAGAGAACATATATGTTTGTTTTTCATGCCCAATGACATGTTGATCTTCGTCGAGTGACCTCATGAAATAATATTTTCATCTGTGGTGCAGCCATGAGCATGATGAGTGCAACTGTCAACTATTACAGGACACACACACCAGATGAAATAAACATGCTACTTGAACGGAAAAGTGAAACAATGTATATATTATGTATTTTTTGGCTGATTTTAGTCTGAATAGTCAGACAGGCTAAAAAGTAGGTCTGAATGTTATTTCACATGAGTGAAATATTGATTTTATTTTTTCTGATCAATACAGTATTTCATCACTTTATACACTCTCTGTATTGAACATAAATGTGCAGATCCAAATGCAAAATAGTAAAGGCGTGGCTATTTGTGATCGTGGATGTAGCCGAATTGTTCTTTGGAAAGATGACATATGTTTAAACCCAGGCTTCCTTGATTCAGAGTAACAATGGGTGCTCAAAACTTGCTCCGGGTTCACCTGACCCGATCTCCAATGGAGGGTTTCTCAGATCGTAATAGTGTATTTGAGTAAAAGATCTGATTTTATGGAGACTGATACACTTCTTGATTATACTTCCTCGTCAGTGTTCATCTGTATGGCCGACAGTTTCAATGACACGCAATGACATCTACTGGTCCTGAGTTAAAGCAAGTTATATGATTGACCATGTTGACTATTTTTACTGATTTCACTCATTTTAATCAAATAGAAAATAATATTTCAAGAAAGAAAAGAAAAATACTATGAGAGAAACCATATTACCAGTTCAAACAACCCGTGAAGATCCGGGGTAGAATAGGTCTTCAGCACCCCATGCTTGCCATAAAGGCGACTATGCTTGTCGTAAGAGGCGACAAACGTGATCGAGTGGTTAGGCTCTCTGACTTGGTTGAAGCATGTCATCGATCCCAATTGCGTGGATCGATTCTCATGATATCAGTCACTGGATTGTCTGGTCCTGACTGGATTATTTACAGACCGCCGTCATATAGCTGGAATATTGCTGAGTGCGGCGTTAAACAACAACCAAACCAAACCAGTTCAAACCTTGTCATTGAAACCATGTATTGTTATGTCCAGTCTTTGACCAATGACCACAGGTAATATTGTTGTTTGGTTATGTCCTGTCGGGGCGGTCGGAGAGCCTAGTGGTTAAAGCGTTCACTCGTCACGCAGAAGACCCAGGTTCGATTCCCGACATGGGTACAATGTGTGAAGCCCTTTTCTGGTGTCCCCCGCCATGATATTGCATGAATATTGCTAAAAGCAGCGTAAAACCATACTCACTCACTCACTTATGTCCAGTCTTTGACCAATGACCGCAGTTAATATTGTTGTTTGTTTTTCAGCACAAACATGTCCCTGGGCAATGCAATATGCCGAAGGTGCGGCGATGGCTTCTCTGCCACAGAACAGATCGTCAATTCCAATGGAGAAGTCTGGCATACCCAGTGTTTCGTGTAAGTTGTCATGGTGATGTAAGAGTAACCATGGTAATAGGTGTAGGCTAGTTATGTACATCAAGTATACTTATAATAACATCTTAGCCTATGTTGTTGGTATACGTTTTATGAGTATAATGTGTAGTCTATAGAGATGGATGTCTTGTTCTAAAATCTGTGAGACCTACTTGAAACAGCTGCCAGTACTTAGAACTGGTAGAACAATAAACAGGTCAGGGTGTGTGATGTGTCCGTGTAAGTTACGTGTGATATGTCACATAATCATTAGCTTCATCATCATCCATCGCAGATAACGCATATAATGATAAACATGATAAAAAGCTGTTGGCTGTTTGTCTTATCAAGTAGGTTGTCTATAACTGTCAGTATCACCATAACATTAGGCTAGATAAGGTTCTAGTTATCGCAACTGTGTGCAGGTTATAAAGAGAAGCAATATTTATGCATAGCAATGCATTAATATCACCAGTACATACATTTATACATGCCAAAACCCCAGTGTGGATTCCTATTAGAATCACCAGGTCAGTGTCATGAAGGGAAGCAACTCTTGTATGCCTCAATCTTATGTATTTAGCTGATCAGGAAAACAAATACATTTCAGCTAATACTGTTTGAGTGACACTTGTAGCACAGTAAATAGTGTGTTCACCCATCAACCATTGGGACTGGGTTTCATTCTCATAATTGAAATATTCAAAAAGTCTGTTCACAATGTCCCTTGTGGACATAAAATTTGTTTTCAATAGAAACCACTCCTGAAAGATATACAGCATTCTTGTGAAGTGTATTGTTTCTGAGTTAAAAAAATTCTTTAACAATTATTATCTTACACTGGAAACAGCAGGAAGCGTAGGTGTATGTTTTGTCCATAGCACAATAGTGCTGAGAAGGAGCAATGAATAAGCCCTGTTAAAGAAGACTTCTACAAATACATACACACACAAAGGTCAGAGAGTATAGCACGCGCATCTGTCTGTGACACTGGTAGAGACATCTCTACCCCAACTCTCCAACACACAATAATGGCTTTGTCACACTCCAGAGCTCTTCAAACTATGTATAAAACTGACCCCCCCCCCCCCCCGATGTATGCGCCGTTCATATAGGACTTATGTCGTCGCCATGGTGCATGTTTCTGGTAATTAACTGTAATTAGATCTTGTGTAAAATAACAATGCGCCTGTTCAGTTAGATAGGTTGTTATGCTAGATGGAAGTAGATCTGTGAACATTAGCTGACGAATGGGGTGTTGTTTAAATAACCTGATTTAAAATACAGTCCCAGGTATTTAATCAGACAAGCCCAGCTTATAGAAGGAAAGTTCTGAACTTAGGGACCTTGGCTGGTATTATGACACTGGCGTCCAGCATGTGTCATTCAGTACTTAATTGTGAAGTTATTCCTGTTAAGGATAATTAAGGCAGTTTGAATGTTCCTCTAGGCAGGTATCTAATTTCGGGACCAGAACTTCGCTGTTTGGGACCGATTTGCCTCTCACACAGACCCTGAAACCAAACTATCCGAAACATCTTATGCTAGTCTATAATTGATACTTGGGCAAGTCTCAATTTCTTCTTTGAAAAGACTGCCTCAGTGGTCTAGTAGTAGAGCATGCGCCAGGAGAGCGGAAGGTCCGGGGTTCGACCCCAGTCTTGTCATACGAAAGCTTGTCAGCTTGGAGTCGGTATACAGCATGGTATCTCAGTCAATGCAAGCAGTGTGTATACTTGAAAATAGGATTTGACCAAAAAATTACAAACATTATCGAAAACAGCCACTGAAACACTACAAACTTCAGGTTCACGCGACAACTATGATACCAGTATCAAATACATCACTATTGAATTCATTTTAAACCACCATCAAACATGGGCGTATACTTTCTTTTGACTCGAAGTTTATATTACAAGACATTTTAACCAAAATATAATAATTCTTAAATATTTTCATTTGAGAGACTAAATGTTAGTCCAGGTGCCGATGTTCCATGCAGATCTTGGAAGAAGGTCCTTTAGTTAGTTGTGAGGAAAACTTTATCTGAGAAGTACTCTGTGCCATTACATGAATATATTCCCATATTGGAGTTTTTTGTTTATTGAAGAATGAAAACATGTCATATTTTCAATCGTCTTTCATACAGACCCTGAAACAAAATATCTAAAAACTTGTACAGTGTTTAATAGTTTGGCAAGTCTAGATTTCTTAAACATTTTAAAAAGATGATATTCTCTGCAGATTCTTTATCTTATATACTAAAAGATAATTTACCCCTGCAAATCTTTGAAAAACACTGTCATTTCAGAAACGTAATGTTAGTCTGCATTGTCAGAGACAGATTCCCATCAAGCACCATAAGGAATCAATTATGATGTAAATAAAATCTGGTTTATATTATGGAATAACTACACTTGCCGACTTGTATCAAAACCAGATCAAAATAATTAACAGGGACAAATTTCTAGGGTAAGAGTCAATCCAGCAGAACCGTGGTTGGGTCATGTCCCAGTTGACATTGACAGGAATGACAACCATGCGTCTTCGTTATCTGCAGGAAATCCAATCAGATCCTACTTCCCTATCCTGACCCCACCAATAGTCTGTTTGTGGAACTTGATATAGGAATGTTTCTTGTTTACTGGCTCTGTGCTACACTGCTGTCATTTAATACAACCATCTTAGTAAAGATTATCTGAGCCCCTCCAGACATCAACAGTCATAAAGCCACTTACAACATGCACGATCATGTCCCTTGCATCATGAGCGTTATGATCTGGAAGTATTAAGTCATTAAGTATTTGTAAGTGGTAAATAGTTTTGTACATAATTTTGAGTTTGTAGGATTTGTACTTCAGTCAATACATTTAAAAGGCCTCTGTGCCTGATTCATCATGGAAAAAGGGATATGAATTTTGACGCTATCGGGTTAGTTAAAAAATATTCTTAGTGGAATACATATAATGTCTGAATAATGTATTCATTATGTATTCAAGGTCATGGTCATTTTATATGGTTTTAATAATATTTCTTTTAAAAACTACACATTTGGTAAGTTAACCTACATTCTTCTGACAAGGTGACCTGGTTTTCTTGGGAGCATGTGACTTGTTCCATTGTCTTAAAACATCTTCAGAATGCCCGGAAATGGAAAAGTTAATTGCCATTTGTCTCAAATGAAAATCTGAGAAGTAAACACTTGGTGAAAGCCACATGAAGCTCATTTCCTTAATCAATATGTAAATGATTAAGTTTAGATATTTATTTCATATGCTTGTTAAATAAGTTTAGATTGGTCTCAAATGTGATATATCAAGTCTGACAATTTCTGACACTTACTGCTAACACGCATATTGGAAGTGAGTATGCCTTGCGGCATTGACAGTAGGATGTGATAGTTTATTGCTCAAGGTTGTGCCTGAATTTGCACTTCACCTCAGACACATTGTTCACTGTGAGGTTAAAGGTCACACATAGGGTAGTTTAGACCCGCCCATATTTGGCAAATGATTTATTATGAACTGATGCCCAAATAATGGCACTTGATATTTGACCTCCAAACACCTAAACTTGAGATGAGTGACACAGTTGATATTTGACCTCCAAATTCCTTAACAAGACATGGGTGACACAATTGCTGTCTTAATATCCTTATCGGGGGTTCCAGGACAGAACAGGCCCCAAGTAAACTTGTCATTATGCTCAGCTGACATTAGGATGGGATAGTTGGAAGCCTATGCCATGGTGATTCAGGGTTAGCGTAGGCCCCAAACAACCTATGCTGTAAGATGTGTCTAAATGGACTAGTGGTCAGGCATGTCATCGTACCCTGATGGTGTGGGAATCGTTGCTCACTGTATCAATCACCGGTTTGTCTGGTCAAGATTTGATTGTTTACATCAATATCCATATATCTGGAATATTGCCAACTGTGACATTAAACATAGCAAATAAAGTAAACAGATTGGAGCATTACAAATAACCTGGCTGATTATTTCTGATTGTACCCAGACTTTGGTTTGTTGCTCTTGTTGTCAACCACCTGTTTGCCTGGTAGACTAGATAACATACAGGTCAACATGATATAGTTGGAACCTTGTTTTCTGAGGTATAACACAACAATTGTCTCTCATTTTGTTTGTTATTTAACACTGCACTTTGCAATATTCCAGCAGTCTGTAAATACTTGAGTCAATACCAGACAATCCAGTGATTGACATCATGAGCATCAATCCACGCAATTGGGTTACGGTGACATGCATCAATCAAGTCAGTGAGCACGAGGACCGGATCCCATTAGCCGCCTCTTACGACAAGCATGGGTTGCTGAAGAACTATTCTAACCCGGATCTTCACGGATGTACATTCACTCATTAAGAACTTAGGATTCTTGGTTAGAATTGATCCCCATCAAGTTATCCTGGTGGGGAACAAATGGAAGGATGGTGACTTGGTTGATAGCATGCCATCGTACCCCGACAGTGGGGATCATTACTCTCATCATCAACCATTGGATTGTCTGGTCCAGACTCCATTATCTACAGTCCCCACTCATAGCTAGAATATTGCTGAGTGCAGCGTTTAACAACAAACAAACAAACAAACAAACAAACAAACATATATAATGAATGATTAGAACTAGTATTTAGATTCACATAGTTTTTAAGTGGATTAATGTAATCTTACTGTGTCAGTTCTCGTATCTCACATCAGATCATATTAATATCATATTCATGATTTAACAACTGCTTACATTTGTCACGTTCATCACCATTTATTCCAATGTAATTATTCATGGACTTGATGATACTTGTTTCTTGTAGTGTTGTTCACAAGGTATATATATATATCTATATGTGTGTTATGTACTGGCATGAATCTGTGTTGTGACTGACAATCTCAACAATCTGGTCATAGATCAGGGTCCAATCACGTAACAGATACCACGTAACAGATACCCATTGTCCCGGACTGACCACAGTAGACTGGATGTCTAACTATGCATGTTTGGTAGATTGTTGCAAGCAGTTAACCTGGCGACATGTTGATGTTGGTGGAACCTGATGCTAATGCATCGATCATAGTCAATCTGTTAAAATAACACCCTAAGCACCATAAGGCTGGACCAGTTGATTTCTTGTTCATATATTTTTTTATTATTTTTTTTGGGGGGGGGGGGGGGGGGGCACTGTTTTCAATGTTAGGGACACACTTATAATGAAATGAAAACAATGTTGTCACTGTGCCTTGATGCTGAGACACACTTATACAGAAATAAAGACGATGTCGTCACTATCTCTTTGATGCTGAGAGCACTCTAATACAGTAATAGGAAATAAAGACAAATGTTGTTCAGGTTCATTCGAGATTCTTTTCATCAAAAAACATAAACAAACTTTCATGATACCAAAATGATGTTCAAAATAACCATTATCTCAATCTGTCACAGCTCATTATATATTAGATGTATTTAATGTTTTTTTTGTGTAAAATTGATGACCTTCAATTTCTGATTGGGAAATGGAACCATTGCTCATGCAGATATCAGGATACTGATATAGTGACACATGTGTCCAGGGTGCTGACATCTGCTCATCCTGTGCTGACACATGTGTCCAGGGTGCTGACATCTGCTCATCCTGTGGTGACACATGTGTCCAGGGTGCTGACATCTGCTCATCCTGTGGTGACACATGTGTCCAGGGTGCTAACATCTGCTCATCCTGTGGTGACACATGTGTCCAGGGTGCTGATATCTGCTCATCCTGTGGTGACACATGTGTCCAGGGTGCTGACATCTGCTCATCCTGTGGTGTCACACGTGTCCAGGGTGCTGACATCTGCTCATCCTGTGGTGACACATGTGTCAAGGGTGCTGACATCTGCTCATCTGTGGTGACACATGTGTCCAGGGTGCTGACATCTGCTCATCCTGTGGTGACACATGTGTCCAGGGTGCTGACATCTACTCATCCTGTGGTGACACATCTGTCCAGGTGGCTGACAGCTACTCATCCTGTGGTGACACATGTGGTAGTGGACACATGTGTCCAGGGTGCCGACATCTGCTCATCCTGTGGTGACACATGTGTCCAGGGTGCTGACATCTGCTCATCCTGTGGTGACACATGTGTCCAGGGTGCTGACATCTGCTCATCCTGTGGTGTCACATGTGTCCAGGGTGCTGACATCTGCTCATCCTGTGGTGACACATGTGCCCCGGACGCTGACATCTGCTCATCCTGTGGTGTCACATGTGTCCAGGGTGCTGACATCTGCTCATCCTGTGGTGTCACACGTGTCCAGGGTGCTGACATCTGCTCATCCTGTGGTGACACATGTGTCAAGGGTGCTGACATCTGCTCATCTGTGGTGACACATGTGTCCAGGGTGCTGACATCTGCTCATCCTGTGGTGACACATGTGTCCAGGGTGCTGACATCTACTCATCCTGTGGTGACACATGTGTCCAGGTGGCTGACAGCTACTCATCCTGTGGTGACACATGTGGTAGTGGACACATGTGTCCAGGGTGCCGACATCTGCTCATCCTGTGGTGACACATGTGTCCAGGGTGCCGACATCTGCTCATCCTGTGGTGACACATGTGTCCAGGGTGCCGACATCTGCTCATCTGTGGTGACACATGTGTCCAGGGTGCTGACATCTGCTCATCCTGTGGTGACACATGTGTCCAGGGTGCTGACATCTACTCATCCTGTGCTGACACATGTGTCCAGGTGGCTGACAGCTACTCATCCTGTGGTGACACATGTGGTAGTGGACACATGTGTCCAGGGTGCCGACATCTGCTCATCCTGTGGTGACACATGTGTCCAGGGTGCCGACATCTGCTCATCCTGTGGTGACACATGTGTCCAGGGTGCCGACATCTGCTCATCCTGTGGTGACACATGTGTCCAGGGTGCCGACATCTGCTCATCCTGTGGTGACACATGTGTCCAGGGTGCTGACGTCTGCTCATCCTGTGGTGACACATGTGTCCAGGGTGCTGACATCTGCTCATCCTGTGGTGACACATGTGTCCAGGGTGCTGACATCTGCTCATCCTGTGGTGACACAAGTGTCCAGGGTGCTGACATCTGCTCATCCTGTGGTGTCACATGTGTCCAGGGTGCTGACATCTGCTCATCCTGTGGTGACACATGTGCCCCGGACGCTGACATCTGCTCATCCTGTGGTGTCACATGTGTCCAGGGTGCTGACATCTGCTCATCCTGTGGTGTCACACGTGTCCAGGGTGCTGACATCTGCTAATCCTGTGGTGTCACATGGGCCCCGGGTGCTGCAGATTGGATTCACAAATTGTGAAAAGTCCATGACCTGTGTGACATGGAATTTCCTCCCCCATTGAGCTGAGAATTCAAGATAGGACTGAGAAACAGAACACTCACACACCCACTTAACTATGACCCTCTACGTACTTCCATGCTATGTGGGTTCCAATCCCGGTTCGCCCCGATTATGTTTTGAGGTTTGTCAGCACCATATTCGTGTATGTGGGTTTCACCAAAGTGGTCAACGTCTGAGACCTGGTGCATCGCTTTTTCCCACATTAAGCTGACATGCCGTGATATAACTGGAATACTGTTAAGAGCGGCATTAAACCCAACTCACTCACTCACACTTCCACGTTGATCAATTGATCACCATGTATTCATCCATTCTTTCATCAATTCTTTGATTAAGTCAATCTGAAAGACGGCCCTCGGTCTGCAACATTTAAAAGATTCTTGAAAATTAATTTGAGTCTTCTTTGAATTTTTCATGAACCAACTGTGTAGCTAAAATATCTTTTACTCATTGACAGCTGTTTTGTTAATCCCTTTGTCCATCCATCCTTCACTCAGTGTATCAGTCTGCTAAACGTCTGACCATCCAGCAAATGACTTAACATCCAACGTCCATCTTTCTCAGCAGTCACTCCATCCATATCCATTATTATGAGACCTCACTAAGTTTAGATAGGAGGTGACAAAATGTAACCTGATTGTGTGGTTTCTGACTCTGATGGGCCGATTGATGATCATCACGTCAACCACTGGTTTGTCAGGTCTAGACTGGATTATATAAACCGTCAATATGATGCTGAATATCGCCAGCGACAGTGTCAACAAAACACATTTGCCCACTCCATCCACCCATTAAAATCATCTATATAATCACTGACAAGCTTTAACAACCTGTAACAGGCTACTGCATTAGCATGACAAGCATGGACATGCATTCAGTGACATGAACCTACACTAACATGGTCCTGTAAGGGAGTTTACAATATTATATACACACATAAGCGATGCATCTTTCATGATATTTCATCAACTGAAATCTAATCTAATATTTTTTTAATCTTCAAAAGTATGATACTAATTCTCTCAAAGGCTTTTTATTTTTATTGTCAGCTTGATATAACATTTAACAGCCTATAGGATAATAAACCTACTCATGCATGTAGCATTTGAATGTATTTATTTCTACTTGATCGGCTTTTTTGTTCCGCATTGTGGCGCACCATTCATTCCTCGTACTGGTTTCATGTAGTACTGTTGTAGATAAGTTGTCCTTTATAGACTCTCTGCAGCTGTTGTACAATAGGCCAATTGGATTTCATAACAACAGCCAGTTATTTTCACTAAAAACAAGACATTATTTGTGTTTAATTTACAAATCTGGCCTCTCTTTTGGTCATGTATGATCATGATGAAAGTGTAATAAATTTTACATTTCGGAAGTAAAATTCAAAAATTCAAAAGTTGCATTGTATCTAATGTAAAATAAATTCTTGATTTTATAAAATATCTGGCAGTATACATGTTATGTGCTTGTATAAAATTCTAACGTCTAGAAAATTTGATTTTGTTAACAGATGTAAATATTTAATGCATGAAGTTGATATGTGTTTTGTTATTCCAAGGAGATTCCAATCAGAACCTTGAAATCTGCCCTTGATTTTCACAGCATGAAATGATATTTGCCAACACCTCTACTCTGAGATGTTAACAATGTGTTGAGGACATACTATATAACATTTTTGAAAACCAAACGAAAATTGAGAAACATATGAAATTTTGTAATTACAAAATTTATTAACTTTTTGTGTAGGAGTTATCTTCCCTTGATAATGTGTCCATATCTCATGTTGAGTTACCTCCCCTTGATTCAAAATAGAGGATTTCAAAGTTTTCAAACAGTTATTATGAATTCAACACCATTTGCATGTAATATTGTATCCTTAATGCATCTTGTATCTACAGAATTATGTATTGGTTTTGGACCATTGCTTTGTAATATTCTGGCTTGGGGCTGTTTAACAATGTATTCTTCATGCCATCACCCATTTCATATCTGAATCTAACAGCAATGGATCCAGTGAGCCGCGAGGGGCCATGTGCTCTAAATGCGGAGAGGATATTGAGGCACAAGAACAAATGGTTAACTACCACGGCCAAGTTTGGCATCCGTCATGTTTTGTGTAAGTACCTGGTCTCTGATTGGTTGAAAGCCTTGTAAGAAAACACTTGGATTGTCCAGATCAGAATGTTTAAGGTGCAGGTTTGTGTTGATAGATTGTTGCAGAAATTGTCATTTGGGTATTCTGGCACAACTGATCATCCATATCCACATCCACATCCACATCCATGACCAATCTGCTTCCCCAACCCAACCTAATCCCTATCATCTCCCACTCCTGGAATCTTTCCATCCAACATTCAGCACATCCACGATAATCCAGGGTTTAATATCTCCGACCATTGAAGATCCTGGTTAGAATAGGTCTTCAGCAACCCATGCTTGCCGTAAAAGGTGACTGCTTGTCGTTAAAGGCGACTAACGGGATTGGGTGGTCAGACTCGCTGACTTGGTTGATGCATGTCATCGTATCCCAATTGTGTAGATCGATGCTCATGATGTCACTTACTGACTCGATTATTAACGGTCATATAGCTGGAATATTGCTGTGTGCAACAAATAGCTACAATGTATCCACTGTATGATGATGAGTACCCTGACTCACTGTAGCTTCCGAAATGAAGCTATGGTGGCAAATGGGCCCGGGGTATGGGATTGAGACACACTGCCCTGGATCATCGAGGATGCATTCATCAGTGCTGCTGTGGTGGTTTTGGTCAGATCCTGCTTTTATTGGCACCAAAAAGATTGGCTGGCCACAATGCCTAACTACAGATGTAGGCTGAGGGGTCACCATGGTGTATATCTGACACCAGCTCCATGTGTGGTTACATCGATGCTCGCTCTTTCGACCACTGGTTTGTCTGGTCAAGATTTGATTACCTTTTGTAATCTGCACTAACCACCCACCCATCTACCTGTCAGTGTCCCATATCATCATCCCACCCCTTCTGTGTATCCTCTCTAATGCTTAACCCACTGAAACCCATTTTGAAAATTTTGACTCTTTAAATTCATAAACATAAATATGTGCCCTATTTTATTCATTGTCCAGAGTATATATAATCACAAATTAACACCATTTTTTGTAATTTTCAGATGTAGTGTGTGTAAGATAGATGTGAATCATAAAATTTGGTAGTAGAATAGAATATTTTGTTTAGAAGTTTTTAGATTTTGGTTTGGTGCTGGTGTCTATGCCTGACTTAGCTTGGCTTCATATATGCACTGCTTCTAAACATTCTCATGGTCTACATGTCATATTGTGTCATTCTGTATCTTTTTATGTCGGAGATTTAAAGAAGCGTTTTGCACAGTCTCATCTTTTGTGACTTGTTGTTGATTGCACATAGTATTGTTTTGTTTACTAAATGTTTGAATGTGTAGTTTGTGTTTTGAATAAGTCACTTGTTCGATAGAAGTAGAAAAATACAAATACATGAAATATTTGAGGTAAAGCAGCTTGCTTAAAAATAATTTCAATTTCATAATTTAGAGCCGTTTCTTCAGCAAGAACTGAGGAGAAGTTCTGCTACTAATGCTAAATGTACATCTGAAAACCAAAACGTCCACACCGAAACATCAACAAGTCCAAACTTGTTTATCAGCATCATTGTCAGTAGATTTTCGTGTTATTATGGACTTACGTTAGCTGAGCTTGCTTGACCAAATGGAATTTTACTGGACTCGGGCTTTGGATCAGTGGCTAAAGTCAAGAACAGAAGGTCATTTAAAAGTAAATGTGTCATCACGAAGGTATTTCGTTTGATTTACTAGTGGGGATGCTAGTTGGAGGGAGTAGCTCGTGTGGACTGACAAGGGGATTGGGTGGTCACAATGAGTGCTGGGAAGACATTCAAATGTCACCTGACTTTGTGTCATTGTACCCTGCCTGTGGATCGATGCTCACACTATCAACCACTGGTTTGTGGTAGCTTACATGATATAGCTATGATAATTCTGACTGTGGCGTAAGTCCCCATTTATCTACTAAATATTGGCATGTTATAAAAGATTACATTCATCATGTGGGAGTATATATTTGCATACTTTCCCAAGTCTAAAGTAATCCTTTATTAAGATTTGTACTTTGGCTGATATATTGACAATATGTTTCAAAACAAGGCATCTAACATCAATAAAAGTCAGTTTCCTTTCATAATGTCAGCATGACCTAACATGCTTGTTAGCTTGAGAAAGTAATGTAACCATGGTGATGAAATCAATAATTACAATATTTTTGTTTTGTCAGCTGTGCCCAGTGCTTTCAACCATTCCCGGAGGGGATTTTCTATGAGGTACGTTGCAGCGTCCCTTCCATCAATAAACAGGCTGTTCCACACTGGCTGTACATGCTGCATCAATCATGTGCATTTATCACAACCATCATAGCTGGGCATGCCATGTATTGCCGGGTCTACTGCAAGAATTGATTGTGTTTGTTCTGCCAAGTGATGTAACACGTTACATGACCATTAAGTGAATCAACAATCATTATGTTTGTAGTATTTGTGGTAAATTGATCAGGAAGGGATTAGTTTACGGCAACCTGTTGCAGTTTGGTTGCAGCGGTATTGACTATTTGTTTATAGCCTAGGAGCACAATCGTCTGAGGAGCCACAATTTGGTGTGTAGAGTTATGTCCCTTAGTTGTGCCAGAATCCTGTCATCAGTGTAATGAATGATTGTTTAAATGTTGTGTATGCCGCAGTACTTATTGAATGTCGAGGGGGGGCAGTTGTCTAAGGCACTGCGATTCGCTGTGCAGAGTTGTGTCCCTTAGGCACGCCAGAAACCTATGATTGTGGGTTCGAATCCCGGTTCGCCCCGATTATGTTTCTAGGTTTGTCAGCACCATACCCGTGCTTGTGGGTTTCACCGAAGTGGTTTCGGGCTTTCCTCCCACATTAAGCTGACACGCTGTGATATAACTGGAATACTGTTAAAAGCGGTCTTAAACCCAGCCAGCTCACTCACTCACTCACTCGCTGTGTCATACCAGAGGACGCTAAAGGATGGTACTTGTTGCCCTGCCTGGCATTCAGTATTAACAGAATAAAACAAGGACTTGTTTGCTCAAAGTCAGTAAGAGGTGTCTGAGTGGGGTATTCTTGTTAAACTGCAGCCTGGTATGTCAGTGGGCTGGCACTATAAAACTGGCATAAGTCTGGACTAGTACTAGCAGCCACACGCACGTTGATTCAAGAATGACATTTTGCATTGAGCATTATGGGATACATATGTAGACGAAGTTGGATACCCAGCATACAGATTTAATGTTTCACTGAGTAATGGCCCTTGTTTGATCATTTGGACATCCCTCGGAAACCACTGTATGTGACGTTTTGAATACATCATTAGCTGAAGCTATGAACATGATATCAAGTTGAAAACCGCCATCGGAAAGTAATATGTTACGAGTATCGCCCTTTTTTGTTTTAATCACAGTCTCTGAATGCTGGTGGCAAACAATATTTGGGGTGACCTACATATTTTTGCATGACATACAGGGAACATTGTTATTTTTTACAAAAAACTGACAATGACATGATTGCAGTGTGTATGAGACCCAGTTGACCCAGCATTGTTCCTGTGTTTCAGTACGAGGGCAGGAAGTATTGTGAACATGACTTCCACGTCCTCTTCGCCCCCTGCTGCGGAAGCTGTGGTGAGTGTGACAGATGCACAGACACTGTAGCAGTAGTCAGTGTTTAGGGATCCGTGGAGATTCCAGGTCAGAGGGGATCACAGCAACCCATCTGGTCCTGAAAGGCCACATAATGGAACATCTTCCCGAGGCAAGGGAGATAACTGATAATAAAAGTCCATGTTTGCCGAACTAGGCTGGAATTATGGAGTTATATTTTGCCTGGACTAACGAGTCTTATCATTGTCCAATCAAAGTCGCGAAACAAAACGGACATCGAGTTTGTAATCTGCATGTGCAGATTTCTGTCGATTGCAGGATTTGCAAAGTGTGTGTACCACCAACTCGGTTTCAACGGGTATTTTCAATATCATTTTATGTTTTTAATCAAGGTGCTCACCTGATTATGGTTATCATAAGATAACCAGCCCAGAAATTCCAGCCTAGTTCGGCAACGATGGAAACTGGACTTTTTCAGTCAGTTAACTCCCTTGCCTCAGGAAGATGGTAATGGATATAGTGGTCAGGCTCAGTGACGTGATTGATTTCTGTCGTTGTACCCCATCAGCCATAGTTGACAACTGTATTGTTGCCGACACTATCAACCACAGGTTTTAGAATATAAGCATCTCACTGGGTTTGAGTTTTATAAAGTCTATTTTACTCAATAGTCTCTCTTATTAGGGTAGCCTAGTGGTTAAAGCTTTTGCTCGTCACACTGAAGACCCAAGGTCGATTCCCGATTTCTGGTGTCCCCTGTTGTGATATTACTGGAATATTGCTAAAAGCAGTGTAAAACCATACTCACTCACTCACTTTGTTAAGATACTCTTAGAGAACTGTTTTAGTTTTCTACTTCATGAGAAGTATACTGTTCCAGGCGAGTTCATCATCGGCCGCGTTATCAAGGCTATGAACAACAGCTGGCACCCAGACTGCTTCCGCTGTGAGCTGTGTACTGGACCTCTGGCGGATGCCGGCTTCGTCAAGAACGCCAACAGGGCACTGTGTCGAGAGTGTAACGCCAAAGAAAAAGCCAAAGGACTTGGCAAATATGTCTGCCACAAGTGCCAGTAGGTCAAATCATGTACCAATTTCTTACACATCCAGTGAAGAATGTTTTTGGTTTGTAAAAATTGTTTCCATTATTTTGGCAACAGGTTGTTTTTCTTATAAAAAAACAAACAGGCTTCCCTGTCCCACAGACAAGAATATCAAATCTGTTGATTCATCATCAATGTTAACGTGTTGACACAGCAAACCTTGGAACACTTGTTACAGACCTTTTAGTCACAGATCCCCGTTGTGACCATTGTAGGTCATTGAGGTCATCTCGAGTGAGGAAGCCTTGATGTCCATCCTGACTGTTTTAAAGGATCCCTGAAGATCCGGGGTAGAATAGGTCTTCAGCAACCCATGCTTGCCATAAAAGGCGACTATGCTTGTCATAAAAGGCGACTAACAGGATTGGGTGGTCAGGCTCGCTGACTTGGTTTATGCATGTCATCGATCCCGATTGCGTGGATCTAGGCTTATGATATAAATCACTGGATCGTTTGGTCCAGACTGGATTTTTTACAGACCGCTGTCATATAGCTGGAATATTGCGGAGAGCGGCGTTAAACAGCAAACCAACCGTGTTAAAGTGGCAGGGTGATGATGACTTAGTACTAAGACCACTCTGTACAAGTGGACTATGGTTCACCCATCTTAGTGCTAAGATGATCATGACTATGTAGACTTCTCTATGTTGTAGTTGTTTTTAATGTTAAGAATACCTGGAAATGTTGTTTGGTATTGAGAAGTACAATTACTGAAAATTGTTTTTGACTTCCTGTTTGAAATGTTCTGTATTCTGATTGTTTCAGCTCAATAATTGAGGAGGGGCACATCAAGTTCAAGGGGGAGGCATATCACCCCTACCACTTCAACTGCCACTCCTGTGGGTATGTACTCAAGGCCTGGGGGGACCTGGGGTTGAATGTACCGCCAGCATGTCAGTTGTAAGAGTTGACTGAACTGGGAACCTATGGGGAATCCGGGGTTCGACTTGGTTCCATAGGTCCTTGTGGTAGAGGCGATGTAAGGGATCGGGTGGTCTAGCTTGGTGACTTGGCAATCTCATTAAAATCAGATCCAAGTTCCGATTGCCGCTAAACAAAGATCTGAGGACATCCCATTACAGGTCACGTCAGAACGACCTTTTCCGAACTTTGACCGACCACTGAAAGGAATAACAAGAAGTCGACATCAGCCAATGAGAAAGCAGCTTTCTCGAGCTTTACGGGACTCGTTTCAACCTGGCGACTTCCATTTCAGACTATGCTTGAAAAATATGTTGACACAGTTCTTGATTAAAATTTTGAAAACTGAAAATCCGGAGTGACTAATATATGGTTGCAATTGTATGGCAGTGCTTCCCACATACTGTGCAACGCCTCCTCCGTTGCAATGTTTATCCTACGGAAGTGAGAGACAGACGATAATTTTGATAGAATCAGTCGTAGGGGCCGTAACTGACGTTCGGAATACACAGTTTTAACGTTTTCGAGGTTGCATGGTTAGAAAACACATTCCGACTGTCACTTTCATGATCTGGTAAGCGACTCTTTGATTGGTCGGATGAAAGGTCATTCTGATGTGATCTGAAATGGGATGTCCTCAGATCTTTGTTTAGCGATAGCGAGAACTAAGATCTGATTTTAATGAGATTGGGTGACTTTGTTGATATGGTGTCAGCCTACCACAACGGCATGGAGCATTGCTCATAAAAATAATTAAGATTTTCTTCAATCAGTCACTAAGTTTTGTTTCAAACAAGGAAGTCAGTATCTATAATATGCATAGGACGTCATACTTTGTATTGTATTTGTTGATGGTACAGTTGTATGCCTCGAAGCTCTAAAATGTATTACCAAAGTCCCCAGGACTTGCAAATATACTGACCAAGGTAAACCCTTGCATGTTTGCACCATACATCTCCCAACATCAATACAGGGGTTTACCAGGTGCTAAATATTGCGTCCTATTCACATAGAGATTGAAACAGACTCCAATCATATCTGTTGGGGATCTGATGGGATGTTTCGTGAGTGAGTGTTTTTATCCCCCGCCGCGCGAAAACGCGAAGCGGGGGATATAGTATTCACGACCGTCCGTACGTCCGTACGTACGTCCGTCTGTCCGTACGTCCGTCTGTCCGTACGTCCGTCCGTCCGTACGTCCGTACGTCCCACCTGTTTGTTGCCGCGATATCTCAAGAACTAAACACTGGATTGTCTTCATATTTGGAACTATGGTGTATATACAGACTCCGCAGACACCAGTCGGTTTTGGTGACCTTGACCCCATTTTCAAGGTCACAGCAGGCATATCTGCTTTTGGAGTTGGAAAACGGTGTTGCCGCGATATCTCAAGAACTAAACACTGGATTGTCTTCATATTTGGAACTATGGTGTATATACAGACTCCGCAGACACCAGTCGGTTTTGGTGACCTTGATCCCATTTTCAAGGTCACAGCAGACAAATCTGCTTTTAGAGTTTGAAAACGGTGTTGCCGCGATATCTCAAGAACTAAACTCTGGATTGTCTTCATATTTGGAACTATGGTGTATATACAGACTCCGCAGACACCAGTCGGTTTTGGTGACCTTGATCCCATTTTAAAGGTCACAGCAGGCAAATCTGCTTTTGGAGTTGGAAAACGGTGTTGCCGCGATATCTCAAGAACTAAACACTGGATTGTCTTCATATTTGGAACTATGGTGTATATACAGACACTGCAGACACCAGTCGGTTTTGGTGACCTTGACCCCATTGTCAAGGTCACAGCAGGCAAATCTGCTTTTGGAGTTAGAAAACGGTGTTGCCGCGATATCTCAAGAACTAATCGCTGGATTGTCTTCATATTTGGAACTATAGTGTATATACAGACACCGCATACACCTGTCAGATTTGGTGACCTTGACCCCATTTTCAAGGTCACAGCAGGCAAATCTGTTTTTGGAGTTGGAAAACGGTGTTGCCACAATATCTCAAGAACTAATCGCTGGATTGTCTTCATATTTGGTAGTATGGTGTACAGGCGGGGGATATTTCGTCACTCTGTGACAAATACTTGTTTGTGCCTCTTTTCGCAATATTTAATAGGGGCAGGGGACACAAAAATTAGGGTTCACACATTTTATACATATTGTGAATCAAACCAAGGCCTTTTGGCATCACTCACTTAGCCACTCAACTACCCCCACACCCATTTAGTCCTGCACCATGACTGTGGAATATATTTATTTTATGAAAAAGAAAAACATTCTAGAAACGTATACAAAAGCAAGTCCAGCTAGCTCTATTCCACAATCGGGGGCACAGGTGGCCCAGTCGTCTAAGGCGCTGCGAATCACTGTGCAGAGTTGCGTCCCTTGGGCACACCAGAAACCTATGATTGTGGGTTCGAATTCCGGTTCGCCCCAATTATGTTTCTAGGTTTGTCAGCACCATACCCGTGCTCGTGGGTTTCACCGAAGTGGTAAACGTCTGAGACCTGCATCACTTTGGGCTTTTTCCTCCCACATTAAGCTGACACGCCTTGATATAACTGGAATACTGTTAAAAGCGGCGTTAAACCCAACTCACACACTCACTCACTATTCCACAATCAGCATGGGGAAATTTGTTTTTACATTTTTTAGAGCCGAGAAGGCTATTGTGTAATTTGGATTTCATAGACTAAATGTTAGTCTAACACCCACTCACTCCCCACCCACCCTGTTTGTTCAGTGAGACAGATGTGTATAATGTCCATAACTGCTCTTCCAGCCAGGAGCTCCAGTCTGACGCCAGGGAAAAGGGCAGTGAGCTGTACTGTCTGCGGTGCCATGACAAGATGGGGATACCCATCTGTGGAGCTTGTAGGTGCGTAGAGAGGGTGTTGATGTACTGCAGTGCCATAACAAGATGGGGATACCCATCTGTGGAGCTTGTAGGTGCGTAGAGAGGGTGTTGATGTACTGCGGTGCCATGACAAGATGGGGATACCCATCTGTGGAGCTTGTAGGTGCGTAGAGAGGGTGTTGATGTACTGCGGTGCCATGACAAGATGGGGATACCCATCTGTGGAGCTTGTAGGTGCGTAGAGAGGGTGTTGATGTACTGCGGTGCCATAACAAGATGGGGATACCCATCTGTGGAGCTTGTAGGTGCGTAGAGAGGGTGTTGATGTACTACGGTGCCATAACAAGATGGGGATACCCATCTGTGGAGCTTGTAGGTGCGTAGAGAGGGTGTTGATGTACTGCGGTGCCATAACAAGATGGGAATACCCATCTGTGGAGCTTGTAGGTGCGTAGAGAGGGTGTTGATGTACTGCGGTGCCATAACAAGATGGGAATACCCATCTGTGGAGCTTGTAGGTGCGTAGAGAGGGTGTTGATGTACTGCGGTGCCATAACAAGATGGGGATACCCATCTGTGGAGCTTGTAGGTGCGTAGAGAGGGTGTTGATGTACTGCGGTGCCATAACAAGATGGGGATACCCATCTGTGGCGCTTGTAGGTGCGTAGAGAGGGTGTTGATGTACTGCGGTGCCATAACAAGATGGGGATACCCATCTGTGGAGCTTGTAGGTGCGTAGAGAGGGTGTTGATGTACTGCGGTGCCATAACAAGATGGGGATACCCATCTGTGGAGCTTGTAGGTGCGTAGAGAGGGTGTTGATGTACTGCGGTGCCATAACAAGATGGGGATACCCATCTGTGGAGCTTGTAGGTGCGTAGAGAGGGTGTTGATGTACTACGGTGCCATAACAAGATGGGGATACCCATCTGTGGAGCTTGTAGGTGCGTAGAGAGGGTGTTGATGTACTGCGGTGCCATAACAAGATGGGGATACCCATCTGTGGAGCTTGTAGGTGCGTAGAGAGGGTGTTGATGTACTGCGGTGCCATAACAAGATGGGGATACCCATCTGTGGAGCTTGTAGGTGCGTAGAGAGGGTGTTGATGTACTACGGTGCCATAACAAGATGGGGATACCCATCTGTGGAGCTTGTAGGTGCGTAGAGAGGGTGTTGATGTACTACGGTGCCATAACAAGATGGGGATACCCATCTGTGGAGCTTGTAGGTGCGTAGAGAGGGTGTTGATGTACTGCGGTGCCATAACAAGATGGGAATACCCATCTGTGGAGCTTGTAGGTGCGTAGAGAGGGTGTTGATGTACTGCGGTGCCATAACAAGATGGGAATACCCATCTGTGGAGCTTGTAGGTGCGTAGAGAGGGTGTTGACATATTGCGCTGTGAAGTTACGTGTTAAGTGTCCAGTGGGCGTTCCCTTGAACATGGTCCAAGTATGCCATGTTGGTCATAAACGCCAACGAAAGACCATTACCGAGATGACTGAGAGTCCTGGTGCCACAACGGTATGGATCGTTCTCATTCTTTCAGTCACGGGTTTGTCTGGTCCAGATTATTCTCAGGCATTCTTGATCACATTGGTGGAATATTGCTCATACAGCATGAAACAAACAAAAAAGTTATTTATTAATTATTGTGTCTCAGTTGAGGACATTTCAGCCTCATAAGAAACAATATGTTGGACCTCATTACTCATTACTTGTTATCCCCTGCCACAAAGTGAGCGGGGGATATTGGAACGGAGTTCGTCCATCCATCCTTCCATCCTTCCGTCCATCCTGTTCTCAGAGAGGACACAGTTTCTCAAAAACTATTTAAGTCAGAGGAATGAAATTATCCACACTGATGTTATTGGTCATGATCTCAAATGAGTTCGAAAATTGATGTTGTAAATTTAATTTTTACAGAGTTATGGCCCTTGCTCCATGATTTTGAACCTAGTGCATACTACGTGAAATGGGGACAAGTCTTCTAAAAAACTAATGAAGTTACATGATGGAAACTTGGCATGCTTATTTAAGAGATATTTGTCAAAAATTGAATTGAAATATTGGTCCTGAATATTATTTGTTTACAGAGTTACGGCCCTTGACCCATGTTATTTTACTTGTGCATAGTGTGTGCAATGGGGACAAGTTTTCTAAGCAACTATTGAAGTTAAATGAATGAAAGTTTGCATGCTTATCTAGGAGATACTTGTCAAGATTTTGTTCGAAAATTGGTTCCATAAATTATTTTTTATACGTAGTTATGGCCCTTGCCCCATGTTTTTAAACTTAGCTCATATTGTGTGCAATTCGGGACAAGTTTTCTCAGAAACTCCTGAGGCGACAAGAATGAAAGTCTGCATGCTTATCTAAGAGATACTTGTCAAGACTGAGTTCAGAAATTGGTCCATGTTATTTGTGCAATGGGGGCAAGTTTTCTCAGAAACAACAAGTTAGCTTATCTAAGAGATACTTATCAAGACTGAGTTTTTTCCTTCCAGACGAAGGGCCATTCCACCATTTCACATTTAATCATTTTTTCAATGACAAAAAGCGGCCCAAGTGCCTATCTCTTCTTAAGGTGAATGTGTGTACAGACTGATTCCTAGTTGAACTGAGTTTATGTGATGTTTATCTGTGTTTCAGACGTCCTATAGAGGAGCGTGTGGTCCACGCTCTAGGCAAGTCTTGGCATGTCGAGGTGAGACTTCAGTCATCATCAACACGTCATCTTCTGTCTGTCTGACGTTACAACCAGTAATTGTTATTGCTAATATGACTGAAAGTTGATAAGGGTCCAGACTCGATTATTTACAGACCGCGGGAATATAGCGGGAATATTGCTGAGTGCTGCATTAAACAACAAACCAACAATGAAAGTTGATAAACTCAGTCTATTTGAATTGCAGATTATATTGTCAGTCTGTCTACAGTTCCAATACATGATGATGATTTGAATGCTAATATTATAATGAATACCTCATTTGTTGCCCTCTTAGGTACGACAAAACATGGTTATTGCAATGTCCAGTGGACTATAGACATTTGATCATTTCATGAGTAGAATTCCTAGTGTGAGCAGTATTATTATAAGGGTAACGCTATTTTTCAGGGCATTATCATTTGCAGAAGTCCGAGGTCTTCCATTAACTGCCCGATGAAGGAGGGCAGTTGAAAAGACCGAGGGCTTCTGCAAATGATAATGCCCTGAAAAATAGCGTTACCGTTATTATAGCTAAAATGGATGGAATTTGTTATCAAATAAAAAGAAAAAAATGTCGATTTTGAAACATTTACTGCAATCAACACGAATGTCACTGACCCACTTTTACAAATATGGAAACGTCATAGAACAACCAGATGACGTCACTATTGAACGTTACGTCACCTATCCCTATCTTATGACGTCACCTAACAACGGGCGTGATAATAGCCCGTCGTCAAGTAATATGAGGGCATTATCAAGTTACAGTGGCCTGCTCATTTCTGATAACATGCGGGTGTTTTTATGATAATTCTATCCATTTTAGCTATAAGACATGACAGTGTTCAAAGCAAGATCGTTAACATCATAATAAACATACGCAGGTGTTTTGACAGTTGATGATTTAGGTAGTTTTTCTGATCAGGTTTGATCCTGTGATTTCTTTTTAAAACATATTCTGTTTGCAATAGTGGTTAATTTGTCCTACAGAATTTACTTGGTGAATGTGATAAAACAGAGGGATTCTGTCAGTAATACTGAAGTGACGACCCGTGAAGATTCCGGGGTAGAATAGGTCTGCAGCAACCCATACTTGCCGCAAAAGGCGAATATGCTTGTCGTAAAGGGCGACTTACGGGATCGGGTGGTCAGGCTTGCTGACTTCGTTGATACATGTCATCGATCCCAATTGCGTGGATCGATGCTCATGATGTCAATCACTGAACTGTCTGGTCCAGACACGATTACTTACAGACAGCCATCATATAGCTGGAATATTGCTGAGTGTGGCGGTAAACAACAAACAAACTAACTGAAATGACAGTTCCAACTGTGTGGGTATCCTATTCATTATAACCATGGTCTACTGTATGAAGTGACAGTTACCACTGTGTGGGTATCCTATTCATTATAACCATGGTCTACTGTATGTGAAACGGGTTGTACTTGTTTTGCAGCATTTTGTTTGTGCAAAATGTGAGAAGCCGTTCTTGGGGACTCGGCATTATGAGAAGAAAGGTCTGGCCTACTGTGAACTCCACTACCATCAAGTAAGTGCTACGTCACATGGTCTCAGATCACCATTACAAGGTAGACCCGTAGAGGTTCCAGGTCTGAAGAGACCCCATTAGTGAAGTTAACTAACCCATGAAGATCCAGGGTAGAATAGGTCTTCAGCAACCCATACTTGCTGTAAAAGGCGACTATGCTTGTCGTAAGAAGCGACTAACAGGATTGGGTGGTCAGGCTCGCTGACTTGGTTAATTCATGTCATTGATACCAATTGCGTGGATTGATGCTCATGATATTAATCACTAGATTGTCTGATCCAGACTTGATTATTTACAGACCGCCGTCATATAGCTGGAATAATACAGAGTGCAGAGTTAAACAACAAACAAACAAACAAACAAACAAACAAACAAGTGACGTTAACTCTTCTTGTATTAGCAGGCTGAAATGTGGATTAGATGGCCACCATTGAGAGGCATGGTGTCTCCCTATTGAGACGCATCGTGACAGAGTTTCGTTGTTTGTCTTTACATCTGTTCTAAAGATGAACAAAGCATCTTGATGTTGCATGGTTCACAACCAAAGTCAGCTTCGCTGGACAAAGCTTGTTGAGATGCAGATGGATTCTAGACAATTCCGCTGAATCATGTTTACATGAAGGCTTAAGACAATTCTACAATTTGTTTGTATTCAATGGAAATATTGACAGAACCTGTTTGCATGATTTCTAATCATGGGAATTTCCCTGAAACAGGAAATAATTCTTTCAGAAAAGCTGAAAATTATTCTTTGATGTCAAGCTTATCACTTATCAACTTTCTATCGTCTTTCAGCTGTTTGGAAACATCTGTTTTGTGTGCAACAACATCATCAACGGGGATGGTAAGATGAAAGACATTATCACATAATACATGCAAAGTGTATCAGATTTCTTGGTCTCGAGACCCGTGAAGATCCGGGGTCAAATAGGTCTTCAGCAACCCATGCTTGCCGTAAAAGGCGACTATGTTTGTTGTGAGAGGCGACTAACGGGATCGGGTGGTCAGGCTCCCTGACTTGGTTGATGCATGTCATCGTATCCCAATTGCGTGGATCAATGCTCATGATATTGATCACTGGATTTTCTGGTCCAGACTCGATTATTTACAGACCGCCGTCATACAGCTGGAATATTGCTGAGTGCGGCGTGACACAACAAACCAACCAACCTTGGTCTAGAATATTTTAAACAATAAATTCTGACATATATTTATTAAAATACAAATATTATTTTGTGTTGATTGGACTTATATCTAATGAGTGAGTAAGTTTAGATTTGAATCAGTCCTGCACCCCAGTCTTCAGGTGGATGGAATTTCTTTAATCACTTTAGAGTTTAGACATCTTCTCGTACGATCAATACCCTGGATCCCTTGGCTGCCATAGCTTTGTTTTCAGCCTGAATAAAGCAGCATGGTGTTGAGTTAACTGACTATGAAGGTCCAGTTTCCACCCTTCAAGAACTAGGCTCGATCGTAGCGCCACCAGTGGCTATCATGAGTTAGGCCCCTCCTATGTCTCACCTCCTACGTCACTTGCATTCGCATTAACAAAATGTCGCGCTGTATATTTGTCGACGCCCAGGTGATGGTACACATGCTTTGTAAATCCTGCAGGCGACGGAAGTCTGCACGTTGAAATCCATGTTGTTTACAGTTTTGCTTTTGTTAGTCTGGACAAAATATAACTCTGGAATTTCAGCCTAGTTCGGCAAGCGTGGAAACTGGACTTTTTTAGTTAACTCACTTGCCTCGGGAAGATGTGTCCTACAAAGCAATCGTTGTGCTAAGATGATCATAACTCACATACTTTTACATAGACGTACAAAATTTGTAGTGCAATGATCACTTTGTGGAACGCGGCCCAAGTTGTTTATCATGATAGAAGAGAAATATAATACTCTGGATAATCAAGGATGATCACATTGTAGTTTTTATTTTTCTGTTTCCAGTGTTTAGTGCCTTCAACAAAGCCTGGTGTGTCAACCATTTTGCCTGCTCCATCTGCGACCGCAAGATGAGTCAGAAGTAAGTCGAGGGCACTCTTGTCCATTCAGGGGTCACTACCGCATAGAGCCCTCGGGCCCCAGGTCAATCCCTATAACAGATTGCTTGTCATGGGATATGATTAAAATGAGGATCTGTGGCAGACTGCTTAAAATCTTTATTTATTTATTTTAGATGTAATGCAATGTCGGGCTATTTATTTTAGCCTTTTTCTTCTTATCGGTCCTTTTATCAGTGAAGTACAAGTCAACACTGCTAAGTCATATAATAATTGTTCCAATTGTTCCAATTTGGGAGGTTGTGCAATCTCAGTAAAATCAGATCTCAGTTCTCGCTGCCGCTAAACAAAGATCTGAGGACATCCCATAACGGGACAACCTTTCATCCGACCAATCAAAGCGTCGCTTACCAGATCATGAAAGTGACAGTCGGAATGAGTTTTCTAATCATGCAATCTCAAAGACTTTAAAACGGGGTATTCCAAATGACAATTATGGCCCGTACGACTGATTCCGTCAAAATTATCTTCTGTCTCTCGCTTCCCACCTTTCGCTAACTTTGACCGACCACTGAAATGACTAACATGAAGTCGACATCAGCCAATTAGAGAGCAGCTTTCTTGAGCTTTATGGGACTCATTTCAAACTGGCGACTTCCATTTCAGACGACGCTTGAAAAATATGTTGACACAGTTCTCTATTAAAATTTTTAAAACTGAACAAATGACGATTCCGGAATGTCTAATATATGGTTGAGATTGTATTGCAGTGCTTTCCACGTACTGTGCAACGCCTCCTCCTCCCACGGAAGCGAGAGATAGACTTGGTTTTGACTGAATCAGTCATATGGGCCATACTGTCATTCGGAATACAGAATGTTAACATTTTCAAGGTTGCATGGTTAGAAAACACATTCTGACTGTCACTTTCATGATCTGGTATGCTACGCTCTGATTGGATGAAAGGTCGTTCTGACGTGACCCGTAAAGGGATGTCCTTTGATGATCTTTGTTTAGCGATAGCGAGGACTAAGATCTGATTTTAATGAGATTCGGAGGTTGTCATTTGCGGTATAGTTGGGGAAGAACGTCTGTCTCTGAGACGTCACCTAGATACATCCCTTCCTGGTTGTGCGACCGCCTCCGTGGTCTTGTGGTAGAGCGTCCGCCCGGAGAGCGGAAGGTCCAGGGTTCGATCCCGAGCCGCGTCATACAAAAAGACGTTAAAAGATTGTACTTGTTGTTACCCTGTCTGGCGCTCGGCATTAAGGGGCTAAAAACAAGGACTGGTCGGCTCGGAGTCAGTATACTGTGTCTGAGTAGGGTATTCATGTTAATCTGCGGCATGGTATCTCAGTGAGCTAGCACTATAAATCGGCATCAGTCCGGACTAGTACAAGCAGCCACACACACACATACACGTGCATGCACGTCGCTATATAAGTGCAATAATCTTGGACGCGACGTTAAACCCAATTTCACCTCACCTCACCTCCTGGTTGTGCACGTGTCTTCTTGTGTATTGACAGTAATGTCATGTTGATTGCATGGAATTGTGTTCATGCTCTCATCCATTGGTTTGTCTGGTGCAGACTCAATTAGTAACAAGCTGAAATGATTACTGATGATTAAAATATTAGCAGCCCTGTGAAATGGAACTGCTGTTAGGTTTGTTGGAATCTGACTGCAATTGCTGATTTTTCTAAGGCAAACTACCCAAAGATGATTGACATAAGATTTTATTCCTCCATGGACTTCTTCCGATGGCCCAGGGATATTATTTTAGCATGTCATGTAAAGGTCAAAGGTCTGTCACAAAAAAGTTTCTGGATACACTTTTTCACAAAATATTGATAAATTTCATTTTAAACTTGGTATATACTCTTTTCTAGAATAGGGGATTTTTAGTGAAAAAGTTTTTAAGTCAGTCAAAGGTCAAGGTCAGCATATAGGTTTCTGTAAAACATGGTTATATCTTTGTCAGTTTCACATGGTTTTACTTGCAAACACACTTATCATAATCCGTCAAGTATCTGTTACCCTTGGAATATACCTGAAGAAACTTACTTGGATTGATGCTCATGACATCAATCACTGGATTGCCTGGTCCAGACTCGATTATTTACAGCCCGCCTTCATATAGCTGGAATATTGCTGAGTGTTGCGTTAAACAACAAACAAACAAACAACAAACCTGAAGAAACCTATCACGACTCAGTGTAAATTACTCATTAAACATATACTCCATGGCTCCACAGATTATGTGGAGCACAGCTATCTACTTTGATTTGCAATATGGATGGAGTGAAGGAGTCTCAACTTTCCATGTAAATATTTTCAGAACCAAGTTCTTTGAATTTGATCTGAAGCCTGTATGCAAATTCTGCTACGACCGGTTCCCGGGGGAACTCAAGAAGAGACTGAAGAAGGCCTACGATGAGGCAGCAAAGAAGTGAACATTACACAATCATCAGGAGGATGCCTTAGCAATGTCTAGTCTGCCGCGCACAAGGGGGGACCACTCCCCTTGTCAAGGGAGACTACTCTGCTGACTTTGCATGCAAGTTCGGTTTTGAGAAAGCTGATCTGACAGTCAGCTTTTTATGTCATAATAGACTGGTCGTAGTCAGATCGTAGCACGAAGGACAAATATAGGTCTAGATAAAACATATAATGGCATGTGATACATTTTTATGCTATTTATTTGAAGGAGCATTTATGAAAAACATGGTACAGTGGTATTCAAGTGTATGTTTGTATTTTTAAGCATGGTCCGAGTATGCTATCATTGTAATGTCTCAGTAAACCCTTCATACTGTGCAGGTGCTCATTATAGAACTTATATCAAACACTGACTCAGATTTATAATAAGCAAAAATGTACCTTTTCTCAGTCAAGCAAGAAACAAGCAACACAAACGCCTCATTAATTTCATTCCTAGCCAAAATGTCCATTTCTTTGAATGCATTTTGAATGTTTTCAGAAAGTTATTTCATTGTTAGGATTTATTCACATGATGTGTTCCTGGATTACTTGCTCTGAAAGTTAGACAGATAATGAAGGCAGGAAGAAATGAGGGATGAATGTGGCGTGACATCGGTGCTGAAATGGCTATAATTTCTGTCAGTGACGCATGTCAGAGCGACGTCAGATGAGCCGCTGTCACAAGGGAGTCCACAAATGATATCAGTTTAAACAGGTTGGAGAATTCCTGGCAATATTGTTGCAGGAGAACACCATATACCGGTATTTCAACTCCTTCATTGCTCAAGGATTAATGTTTCCTTCTTTTTTCATTTTGTGTCGATTATTGCTAATGCAGTTCTTCAAATCGTTTCTTGAGATAGACAATTTCTTTGATACGAAGTTAATATTTTTAGTTAAGTTTTCTGTCTACAAACTTTGTAAGGTGATCCGTGCCTTGTTTGTTGATAAGCCTGTGTAAGGCTACAAATAAATAATAGTCTTGGTTCTCAGACACCGCCCGCATCATCATAAGGTTAGCCGCACATTTCATTTTTATTTCCATTTTAAACAAAAAAAGAAATATCCTTAAATATTGCAAGTCTAATAATAGTCAAATACTCTATTCCAGTATTTTACTCATCAAGGAATACATTTATGTAGGAAGTCCTTCCCCAGGTTGATTGTACACAACTGTTTATTTGCTTACACAACTGTTTATTTGGTTACATATTAGTTTGAACAACAAAAAACACCACCTCTCCGCATTACATTTTCAGAAGCCGTTGCCTGAGAACCAATTCATTTATTTTGTTTAAGTCTGATCTGTCTTTCATATGAAACTTTATGCAGTTGAGATAATGTTTGAAAAGGTGTGATACCTATCTGAAAGTGAGGCTTTTCCAAGAGCTGTTTCCTTTCTGTCTTTTTGTTGTTGTAATTCATCCAACATCCAACAGTTCCCAGACTTTGTTGATATGCTTACAATGTTTTTACATTGATTAAATATTATCTTTGAAATATTTAAAGATATGGTAATCTGTGATCAATATCATTGATATCACTGACATAACGTGACTTGTTGTGAAAATGTAGATTGTAGTTAACTTAGTTTTTAAGATTTTTAGAATGAACTTGATGAATCAGCAGATACTACCTCAAACATTGTTTCATCTTTTACCACACTGGAACAAGTATCCTGCCTTTACGATCCCATCAATGGTAGCAGTTATCATCAGTTAACATTTCATGATATTGAAATAAAAACGGATTAAAAGGCCCATCCTTTCCATTTTATCAACAAAATTTTCAGTCTACAATTTCAGTTTTTTAGAAAATGAAACCCAAAAAATGTTTTTTCATGGAGTTCAATGGATGGTTTGTTTTTGCTGTAAGTTGTTTCTGAACACAAAGTCATGAAATTGTTACTGGAATTCATCTGTTGACAAGGAGGATGCTCCATCAATCTTCATCCGATCCCTGGCACCTGCCATACATCATGTACCCATTACTAAGACTCTCTGCTGGGCTCTGTTGCCATCTGTTAGTGTATGTAATAGTAGATACCTCATCTAATGTATACATTGTTGTCTAATTCTGTTATGATCATAGGAATGTATTATGTAATGAATTTTATCAGCTGATGTTTCTCATGTACTGCCACCTTCACGTTTAATAACAACCATAATAATGAACTATTTTCAGCTTTGTGTCGGGTTATTAAAAAAAAATTGAAATGATATTTGTGGAAAGGAAGACAAAATTTAGCAGGAAAATTATTATAGGCAAGTCCATCTTTAACAGAATTCCAAGCACTCTGTATAGACTTGGAGTCAATAGCTGTTAACACTAGCCATGGAAGATCAAATAGTTCAGATTTGGTCCAGAATGACAACCATGGCTTGGCTTCAAGGATGAAGAACTTACATTTGTCTCTCCTGCTATTGAAGCATCAGTAACATTTGTCAAGATGATATTTTTACTTGAAGATCAAGGAATCTGTTGTCTGATCATACACATAAAAAATGGCCATCTGTCTTCATTAGTCTTTCAAAATTCATAAACGGAGAACAATGTATTGATTCCTTTTTTTAAGTCTGAGTATTCACCCATTCCCTGTTGGTATAGAGTTCAGGTCTTAAAGCGTGTTTACATAAATATCTCATTACCATCCCGCTCCTAATTTGTATTTTCAATTCAAATTTCGTTTTGTTACGGCATCTAACATTTTGGAGCTGCAGGGGGTTTCACCAAAAGAGACAATATCGTACATTAGGATCGATACTTACACAGAATGGTAGCCTACAAAAGAGACAATATCGTACATTAGGATCGATACTTACACAGAATGGTAGCCTACAAAAGAGACAATATCGTACATTAGGATCGATACTTACACAGAATGGTAGCCTACAAAAGAGACAATATCGTACATTAGGATCGATACTTACACAGAATGGTAGCCTACAAAAGAGACAGTATCGTACATTAGGATCGATACTTACACAGAATGGTAGCCTACAATAGAAGTAAAATATCAAAAGATGACCCACCCTCCTTACCAAGTCCGTTCAAGTCATGAGAAACAAGAGTATTTTTTTGTAACTGGCCAAAACATGAATTGTAAATAGTTTGTACACATAGACATCAACAACGTGTTACTGTTGTGTTAACAGATTCATGTGTGAGTGTTGAGAATCTTGAACTCGGATATTTCTGGTTACCTCATATTTTCCACTGGTCTGACAAGAGTTATCCCCCCTGTACAAGTTGCTTCCCGATCCCATGCATGGCTTTATGAATAAATGGGCTGTTACTATAGAAACGTGTTTGTTGTTTGTTATGAATTTGTTGAATGAAGTTTACATACACATTATTAAACAAAACAAGCATTTAAGCTAATGATATTTTAGCAACTTCGTCATTTCCCCCGTAGGGACGGATACTGGTTGGAATTGGTCCCCCAGCAATCGGTGGGCTCGGTGACTAAGTATGCAGGTCCAGACATCATGATATGTTACAGGCCTTCTTCATGTAGCTGGGATATTGCTGAATGCAGCATTAATAAAAAACAAATTTACCACAAACAGGTATCTTTTCGGGGGGGAATGGCAAAGTTAATTCTATATTAATCATTTTATGAACTAAAAAAGCAGGACCAGCAAAATGATTGTCTGTACTTTTAAATCCAATATTTAGATACATCCAAAGTAACTGATAGTCATGGATCAAAGGCGTCACATGTGATGTGTTCATGAGTGTTGATTCACATACTACACCAGTATGTTCAATTGTGCATCGAAAATCTAATATCTCTTGATTATGTGTAAGTCTTCATATATTAACCAACATGTATGGTAGTAGCGTTTCTTTTGTTGGGGGGTGGTCAGGTAGCCTAGTGGTTAAAGCGTTCGCTCTTCATGCCGAAGACCGGGTTCGATTCCTGACATGGGCACAATGTGTGTAGCCCATTTTTGGTGTCCCCTGCCGTGATATTGCTAAAAGCGGCGTAAAACCATACTTACTCACTCACTCTTTTGTCGGTGAGTATATATTGCAATAAAGTTTCTTTAATTATACGTGATGAGCTCATGTAGCAAGAGAGTCTGTAGTTCACTGATGAATACTATTTGGACACTGGTATGTGGACTTGAATATTCATTGTGTATTCAGGTGTATAAAGGAACCACTCTGACAATGAAATAAGATAATAATTCCTCCAAACAAAAAGATTGTGGCTATGATGTAATAGAGGTAGTTTTCTAAGAATTATACACAATGATAACTGTTGTTTTATGATTCCTTCGACAAACCTCATATCTACAGCAGTCACTTTGTTCTGTCTCCTCATGTAGTTGAGGTAGTTTTCTTGTTTGATATCCTACTCTAACTGTTTAAATGCACACTTGGATCATATTTATTTACCTTGAAAAATGTAAAAAGCCTTAGATCTGGATACTCAAATTATATAAGAGCTGATTTATATGATGGACACAGTAACCCATCTTTAACAAATTAACAGTATCTCAGCCTTTGCGATGTAGCAGGAAAGCTCAAAGACGGTAGGCAGTTAAGGAACAATTCTTTCTAGAACCCTCCGCCACTGATCTGAAGACGGATCAAGAAGCATTCATTTGCACATCAGATCCCAAAGGTAAGGGAGACAACTCTGTAGAGCTAATTGTTGCTTTCGACGATTCTGCTATCTGACTGTACAATTTCATCAATTTGAAAAGAAGCTTGTGTATAATACCTTTGATCTTCCTACCTAGGTGCAACAGTGAACAGCGTGCATCACACATCCCTAGCAAACCTGCTTGTCTTTTTCTTTTAACGCTCCACTCAGCCGTGCGTTGAGGTCAACGACTGACGTAAGTAAGGCATTTGAATATCTCCCTTTAGAACGGGGCCCATGTTTCAACAGGGTAAGAATAGGTTCTCAGAAACCCATGCTTGCCTTAAAAGGCGACAATGCTTGTCGTAAGAGGCGACTGACGGGATAGGGTGGTCAGGGTCGCCGACTTAGTTGAAGCATGTCAACGCATTCCACTTGTGTAGATCGATGCTCATGATGTTAATCACTGGATTGTCTGGTCCGGACTTGATTATTTACAGACCGCCGTCATATAGCGGGAGAATTGCTGAGTGCGAATAACAATCAACATCTAAACGAAAGGGAATCTCCAAGGATGGCTGACAGTTTAATATATAGTTGACCGTGGTCTAGTGGTAGAGCGTCCGCCCGGAGAGCGGAAGGTCCGGGGTTCGATCCCCGACCGCGTCATACCAAAAGACGTTAAAAGATGGTACTTGATGTTACCCTGTCTGGCGCTCGGCTTTAAGGGGCTAAAACAAGGACTGGTCAGCTCGGAGTCAGTATACTGTGTCTGAGTGGGGTATTCATGTTAAACTGCGGCATGGTATCTCAGTGAGCTAGAACTATAAATCGGCATCAGTCTGGAGTAGTACAAGCAGCCACACACACACACACATACACGTGCATGCACGTCGCTATATAAGTGCAATAATTTTGGACGCGACGTTAAACCCCATTTCACCTCACCCTAATATATAGTTATCATGGAAAGATTCCATCTACACTCAAATCACTGTCGACGGAGCGGAGCAAGTGGGAAATACGTGTACACAAACCTCCCTTACGTCAATAACTTGCCGATAGAACTCTCCAATATATATAACATATATAGTATCTCTAAATTATAATTGTGCCTTCCCACGACCGCCTGATAAAAGGTCACGGTTCATAAGTTGTTACAACACAAAAAGAACGTCCGATGCGGCCATACTCTGCTCTCCGAGATAACACAGTGTGGCCTTGATATTCTTTTCTGTTGGTCCTCATGAAATTATTTTGTCATTCTATTAAGGTACATGACTGGCGTTCTATCCTTTCACAGTGTACTACTCAAGGTTTGCATTGGTTTCGGTAGGGTTTTAGATGTTTGGTATAGGTGTTGAAGGTTTGGTGTATGCATTGAATGTTCGGTATGCGTATTGAATCTTTGGTATGTGAATTGGATGCTTGGTAGAGTATTTAATGTTGTTATGTGTATTAATTGGTTGGTATAATATGTTTGCATGGAATGTTTGGTGGATGTATTAACTCTTTTGTATGTGTATTGGATGTTTGGTAGAGTTTATATTGCTTGGTATGTGGGTTGAAGGTTTGGTATAATGTATTGAATGTTTGGTGTATGTATTGAATGTTTGGTATGTGGGTTGAATGTTTGGTATGTATATTGAATGTTTGGTACAGTGTATTGAATGTTTGGTGTGTGTATTGAATGTTTGGTATGTGTGCTGAATGTTTGGTGTGGATATTGAATGTTTGGTGTAGGTAGTGAATGTTTGGTATGGGTATTGAAGGTTTGGTATAGGTATTGAAGGTTTGGTATAGGTATTGAATGTTTGGTATGTGTATTGAATGTTTGGTGTAGGCATTGAAGGTTTGGTATGGATATTGAAGGTTTGGTATAGGTATTGAAGGTTTGGTATGTGTATTGAAGGTTTGGTGTGGGTATTGAAGGTTTGGTGTAGGTATTGAAGGTTTGGTATGTGTGTTGAATGTTTGGCGTGTGTATTGAATATGTGGTAAAATGTATTGAATGTCTGCTCTGGAAATATTGAAGGTTTGGTATGGGTATTGAAGGTTTCGTATGGGTATTGAAGGTTTGGTATGGGTATTGAAGGTTTGGTATGGGTATTGAAGGTTTGGTATGGGCATTGGAGGTTTGGTATGTGGATTGAAGGTTTGGTATGGGTATTGAAGGTTTGGTATGGATATTGAAGGTTTGGTATGGGTATTGAAGGTTTGGTGTAGGTATTGAAGGCTTGGTTTGGGTATTGAAGGTTTGATATGGGTATTGAAGATTCGGTGTGGGTATTGAATGTTTGGTGTAGGTATTGAAGGTTTGGTATGTGTGTTGAATGTTTGGCGTGTGTATTGAATGTTTGGTAAAATGTATTGAATGTCTGGTCTGAAGGTATTGAAGGTTTGGTATGGGTATTGAAGGTAAGGTATTGGTATTGAATGTTTGGTATGGGTACTGAAGGTTTGGTATTGGTATTGTCGGTTTGGTAGGGTATTGTCGGTTTGGTATAGGTATTTAAGGTTTGGTATGGGTTTTGAAGGTTTGGTATGGGTATTGAAGGTTTGTGTAGGTATTGAAGGTTTGGTATGGGTATTGAATGTTTGGTATGGGTACTGAAGGTTTGGTATTGGTATTTTCGGGATGGTAGGGTATTTATGGTTTGGTATAGGTATTTATGGTTTGGTATGGGTATTGAAGGTTTGGTGTAGGTATTGAAGGTTTGGTATGGGTACTGAAGGTTAGGTATGGGTATTGAATGTTTGGTATGGGTACTGAAGGTTTGGTATTGGTATTCAAGGTTTGGTAGGGTATTGAAGGTTTGGTATGGGTATTGAAGGTTTGGTATTGTAGAAGTGGTTGTAGTATTGTAGGGGTATTGTGTAAATGGGGCCTTTGAGGTTTGACATGGGTATTGGATCAGTAGTGAATGCTTTATGAATACGGAAGGCTTGGTAAAAACTGTGAAGGTTCAGTTTGGATAATGATAACTTGGAAGAAAATTTGGTTAAAAACGCTCGCGGGGATATTGAAATTTTAGTATGGTTATTGAAGGTGCTGTACGTGTGGCTACGAAACATGTAGTGGTGATATCAAAAGTTGGGAGGGGGTATTTAAGAGTTGGCAGACATATTCCAAGGTTCACTCGAAGTATTGAAGGTATGGTATGACTTTAAAAAAGTTTGGTATGCGTCGTGAACGTTTGGTATATCGAGGTTAAGGCGTTTACTCGAAACCAGCTGTGTGATCTGATCGTGGCTCTTACCACTCTGATCAACGTGACTAACTCCACGTACTGCGAGCCCTTTAAGACCTGGATCAATATAAATAGCTCTCTTTTCAACAAACAGCGACACTGTCCCCTTATGGGCGTGGTTGGGATAAGATGACATGCTTCAACCAAGTCAGCGAGCCTGACCACCCGATCCTGTTAGTCTTACGACAAGGGTAGTCACCTTTTACGGCAAGCATGGGTTGCTGAAGATCTATTCTACCCCGGATTTTCACTGGTCCCATGTGTGTGTAAGTGGTCGGGTAACTTAATAAATTATTGCGAAAAGAAATCATTTCCGATGAAAGAAAACAGTTACTTTTGCTGTGGCCTTTTAAAAAAGTGTGTCACGTCACGCCGGATTGTAATAAATCGTGTCGGGTCAGACGAACCAATGACTGATATTATGAGCAACGTCCTACACCGTAATGGTACCATGC